GTGAGCAGTCTATATTAGTGATGCATCAAAATCAAAATTCTGGTGCCGAAATCAAAAATTCAGGACGCACTTGGCTGAAAACCAAAACAGAGGGGTTTTTTTAAGTTAAAATTTGAAGGATAAGTTTACCTTTCCACAAAAAATAATAATGCATTTTTTTGTTGGTATAAAAATGTGCATTTATTATATTTTGTGTTAGGAGCCTGATCACTGGTGCCATGCAGGTCTCCTGCAGATCGTCAGTGTATCTGCTTGCTTGTACATCCCATATGGCTAAGCCGATACTTTCTGACAGAAAGACAGTGCTGTGGTAGTTCATTGAGAACTACAAGCCAACAGCCACTAAGGCTGTCAGGACTTGTAGTCCATTCATTCACAGAACGCTGTGAATGAATGACGGTGCCGTGTGGGCAGAGCCCCGCACAGACACGCTGTTTTTGAAAACTTACATCTAGTACGGGGACCTTCTCCCTGTACTTCTATCACAGGGAGGGCGGCGGGCAGCAGCTGCAAGATCAGGAACATGTTACATGTTCCACTCTAGAAAAAACAGGCGGAACATGTAATGTGTTTCCAAAGGTGAACTTATCCTTTAATTAATGTGGCTGGTGATTTTTCATTGAAGTCACTAGGGAGTGTTTTTGCATTAAAGTCTATGGGACATGACTTTGCATTAAAGCGGAGTTCCAGACGGTTTTGTGTTTATTAAAAGTTTTTGTAGCTGCTGACTTTTAATAAACACACATTCACCTGTTCCAGGGTCCAGCAATGTGCTCACCCGCGCCGTCCCATCTCTCCTTCTTCTCTCCCCGACGCCGACATCTCAACTGTAGGCACCAGGCTGTGACAGCTTGTGGCTTCACAGCCGGGTGCCCACTGCGCGAGTCGCGCTGATTGATCCGGCAGTCTTCTGGGACCTGTGAAGGTTCCCAGGAGACTGTGGGAGGAAGGAGGAGGCCAACTCCCAGCTCACTTCAAAGTGAGCCGGAAGTGGGAGCGGGTATCTGTCAAAACCAGGTATCTGCTCCCCCCCCCCCCCCAAAAGATGCCAAATATAGCAGTGGAGGGGGGAGGAGGCAATCAAGTGGAGCTTCCACTTTTGAGTGGAACTCCGCTTTAAAGTCTATGAGACGCAACTCTGTATTAAAGTCACTGAGGGGGGTTTTGCATTGAAATCTATGGGACACAGCATGCCATTATTGGCACCTTTCTTTTCTATCGGCAAAACACTGATAACCCTATTTTTGACAGACAATTTTCAGCAGCCAATATATGTGCATCCCTAGTCTATATGTGGTGGTGGTCTGTGCTGCACAGCCTAAGGGTCCACAGAAAAAGAAAATTTGGAATTTATCCACATTATGTTGGGGACCTGTTTATGATTTAAAGACTTTTTTTTGCAAAATGTACACCTTTATAGGGACTGTTCATATTCATTTGTGTTAAGTGCCATCTTTTTTGTTGCTAAATACTGGTTAGAGGTGTAATTTCTATATTGGAGTAAGGGCCAATTCATACCAGTGCGTTGATCTGCATTTTAGAGCAGCTGTAAAACGCAGATCAACAGAAGGACATCTTAAAAGCAATCATTTTCATTGTGTCCTATTCACACTATAACGCTGCGTTGTGCGTATGTATTTTAGCGCAATGCAATGGAAGTAAGCGGATGTCAATGCAGTGCACAGGGATGGAAATGTACATCCATTTTCCTTACATTTTAGCTCAAGCCTGTGTGAATTAGCCCTGTATGGTAAGGGAAGACTCCTTTTTTTTGTACATTTACAGTTTAAAAATTGTAAAAAAATGTTTGCCTTTATAAACACTTTAACCCTTTCGCTGCCAGACCCGTTTTTGCATTTTTTTGCACACATGTTTAAAAAATCATTTTAGGCCTGAAGATTACACAAAACCCCCAAACATTATATATTTTCTGAAAGCAGACACGCTAGAGAATAAAATAGTGGAGTTCCAATTTTTTTATGTCACGCGATGTAAGCGCAAAATTTCAGTAAAAGAAACAGGGCAAACAAACTCAATAAATGACCCAAATTTTTAAAGAAAAAATAAAGTCCCTATGTGATGATTTGTAGGTTACAGGTTCTCTTTAATGAGACAATAAGGGTGTAAAAGACCTTGCATGTTTCCTCTGAGCTCCAATGGATGTATTGCAATGCATCTCTCTCTGGCTATTCTAGCCACGGAAAGTGACAGCGGTGACCCAGAAGTAACAACATCAAGAAGGGTAGAACGTGTGTCCGCTCTTCTCACTTCCCTCCACCTGCTGGCACCCACCATGTTGGCCTTGGGCCCGCAGATGGGCAAGTGGAGACCTGAATACATGAGGGGAGTGCGCGCGCGTGGGGGGGGCAATCTGCTTCCACCTGACAGGCAGGAGTCTGCCTGTCAGTTTTTGACACAATCCTGGTGGCTGCAGCCACTGGATTGTGTGTAAAACTCCCAGGCTGACAGGTCTGTAGGACATACAGACCTGGCAGCAAAAAGGTTAATACAAAGAATGGATTAAAGCGTAACTCAAGTTCTGCTGTCACAGCGTGCAGGCAGGCCTTTTATTGCAGACCAGACATGCAATATCTCTTCTGCAGTAAGATATACTAACCTGCCTGTCTTCTCCAGCGGGAAACTGAGCTGTGCATGTGTAGTTCAGCTTACGTCGCTGCCGCAGTTCCTGTGCTTGCCAGGATGAATGACTCCTGAGCATGCGCAGGAGTGACATCATCCTGCACCGGAAAATGGAGAAAGCTGAAGACCAGCACCCAGCAGAGGGTGTTGGCGATGGACGGAGACTGTTGAAGGAAAGGGTATACACAGTGGGGAGATATTACAAAGTCTGCACTCTACGTTCATGTGCACAAAGCCTTACAGGGTCAGAATACCAGTGAGGCCCATGTGCAAACATTCATAAATTCTGGAACTGTGCGTGGCCAACACTCTTCAGTGTTTTCAGCAGGTACAGTTGCAAGAAAAAGTATGTGAACCCCTTGGGTATTACGTGGAGTTTTGCATGAATTGGGCATAAAATGTGCTCTGAACGTCATCTAAGTCACAACAATAGAAGAACACAGTCTGCTGAACATAATACTACACAAATATTAGATGTTGCCATGGTTTAATTGCACATAACATGTAAACATTCACAGTGCAGGGAGGAAAAAAGTATGTGAGGCCCTAGCTTAATGACTTCTCCCAGAGCTAATTGGAGCCAGGAGTGAGCCAACCTTGACTCCAATCAGTGTGATGATATTGGATGTGTTGCTGACAGCTGTCCTGCCTTAAAAAACACACACCTGTTTTGGGTTTACTGGTTTCAAGAAGCACTGTCTGATGTGAACCATGCCTCACAGAAAAGAGCTCTCAGAAGACCTACAATCAAGAGTTGTTGACTTGGATGAAGCTGGAAAGGGTTACAAAAGTATCTCCAAAAGCCTTGATGTTCATGTGTCCATGGTAAGACAGACTGTCTACAAATGGAGAAAGTTTAGCACTGTTGCTACTCTCCCTAGCGTGGTCGTCCTGTAAAAATGACTGCAAGAGCACAGCGCAGAATGCTGCATGAGGTAAAGAAGAATCCCAGAGTGTCAGCTAAAGACCTACAGAAATCTCTGGCACATGCTAACATTTTTGTTGACACATCTACAATAAGGAAAACATTAAACAAGAATGGAGTACATGGGAGGACACCACGGAGGAAGCCATTGCTGTCCAAAAAGAATATTGCAGCACGTTTGAAGTTTGCAAAAGAGCACCTGGATGTTCCACAGCACTACTGGCAAAATATACTGTGGACAGATGAAACCAAGATTGAGTTATTTGGGAAGAACACACAACACTATGTGTGGAGAAAAAAAGGCACAGCACACCAACATCAAAACCTCATCCCCACTGTAAAACATGGCGGAGGGAGCATCACGGTTTGGGGCTGCTTTGCTGCCTCAGGGCCTGGACGGATTGTTGTCATTGATGGGAAAATGAATTCCAGAGTTTATCAAGACATTTTGCAGGAAAACGTACGACCATCTGTCCGCCAACTGAAGCTCCGCAGAGAATGGGTGATGCAACAGGACAATGACCCAAAGCATACAAGTAATTCAACAAAACAATGGCTGCAACAGCACAGAATACGCCTTCTAGAATGGCCCAGTCAGAGTGCTGACCTCAACCCGATTGAAATGCTGTGGCATGACCTTAAGAGAGCGATTCACACCAGACATCCTAAGAATATTGCTACACTGAAACAGTTTTGTGAAGAGGAGTGGTCCAAAATGACTCCAGATCATTGTGCAGGTCTGATCTGCAACTACAGGAAACATTTGGTTGAGGTTATTGCTGCCAAAGGAGGGTCAACCAGTTATTAAGTCCAAAGGTTCACATACTTTTTCCTCCCTGCACTGTGAATGTTTACATGTTCTGTGCAATTAAACCATGGCATCATCTAATGTTTGTGTAGTATTATGTTCAGCAGACTGTGTTCTTCTATTGTTGTGACTCCATGATGTAATGGAAACCTTTACTAGATTTTCCTACACAAGCCTCCTTTCTGTGCAATATAGTGGAAAAGACATGCAGGATGGAAATACGGTTTTACACTGGAATTAAAAAACTGTTAGTGTTTTAACATCTTTTATTCCTAAATGATAATGTGACCTGTAGCTATTCTGACAACTTAATCAACAATAATTTGATTGTTTCTATCTAAAACAAAGGTTAGAAAGAGCACAGGAAAATTAGAGGTGTGTTTCAAAATTACTAAATGTGAATCAACGAACAGGACATGCTTCTCTGCAATATTCATTTAAATCATCTGACACAACATACTGGTCTTACTGATGGTTTTAGAAAAGTTTATTTTTTTTTACTGAACATGCACATGCCTTTCCCCACTTCCACTTTCTGACCTGTGTCAGGAAGGTATGGAGATCTGGGAAACCACCTCTTCATCTCACGACTGTTTTTTTTTTTTTTTTTTTTCAGAATCGCAGACAATGGCCAAGAAGTTGCTGTTGGTGGATGTGGACTGTGGGGTGGATGATGCCCAAGCACTTATGTTGGCTCTGGCAGCTCCTGATGTTGAAATCTTGGGTATAACCTGCTGTCATGGAAACTCTACCTTAGAAAATGTCTGCAGGAATGTCCTTTGTGTTCTGAAATGCTGCAATAGACTTGAGGTAGCTGAAGATCTCAGATATATACATTTAAGTTTTGTCTAAGGAAGTTTGGTTTATAAGGGATGCTATTTTTTCATATACATAACATAAATGTTGGCTCATTGTTTTTTTCTCTTTCTCTCTCTTCAGATGACCAAACTAACAGTAGTGTCACAATGTAAGCTTCTTAGGGTCCCTGCAAATATGTTTGTGAACCCTCAGCTACTTTTGTGTGGACTTGCTAAGTTGCCAGATTCTAGGCCCTTATGCCTTGACTTCTGCTCGACACAGCATAAGTCCTCTTTCACACAAATGTTCCAATTGGACCCTCCATTCTCCTATATGGAACGGTGGGTGTAAATGGACATCCAATCTGATCTGATCCACTAAGAACAAAAAGTTGGGTACCTGTTTCTCTCTGTCTAACCTGATCAAATCGGATAGCAGTCGGGTGTAAACGGACAGGCGGTCTGTTTATATCCGACTGCCCGTAGAGGAGAGCTGACTGTGTCCATGTCCATTCTGCCTGTCATCTGCCTGCTCAGCAGAAATCAACAGACAGAACCCTTGCTAAGCAAGTGGATCGCAGGTGAAGTCTGCTTTGTGTGAAAGGGGCCTTAGGCCCAGGTCACACTGTTGTATTGTGTGAAAACATGCTTATGCGCATTGGACCACTGCAGTGTCATTATTATTATACAGGATTTATATAGTGCCAACAGTTTGCTCAGCGCTTTACAATATAAGTGTCATTCATTCTTATTGGGTACTCCAACACAGCTCGCAAAGTGTGCATTGCAATGCTCTACAACACATGGCAACATTATAGCATGTATTGTGGTGCACTGAGTTACGCTTTTTTTTGTGTGTTCTTCAGCTCATTGAAATGACTAATATTGGAGCCTCAGTGGTCAATAAAAGCTGTCATAGTGACTGTTGATTGGGGAGAGTCATGTCTTAGATTGAGTGGTTTGGGTTTAGCTTTGTGTCAGTCAGACATATGTCTAAGCCAACAATGATTCTGGTTATCTATTTTAGGAGACTATTCTAATTACATTTGAATTCTCACAGATGTTGAAATTGAGACCAAATTATTAAACAGTTCTATAATGAAGATCTGTAGATCTGAGCTCTTCACTTTCATCTAATAAGTAAATTTGTTTTTTGCACGTTAGATTCCTGTTTATGGTGGAGCAAGTAGACCGCTACTTGGGAAAAATATCCATGCTAGTGAATATCATGGAGTAGATGGCTTGGGCGATGTACCAGATCTTGAGTTCCCTGGACTTGAAGCCTTGAAGAAAGAACATGCAGTTCTTGCAATACTAAGGATAGTCAGTGAACACCCTGGGCAGGTGAGACATGTTGTTCCGTACAGTAGGTTTACCACGTTGCTTTGATGAACCCACAGTTCCCTTCTTCTAAAGAGGTTTTCTGAAGCAGTTTAAAAATGTAGTTGGGGTTATGTTGCTTTAAAGGGGATTCCAATTCAGTAAAACATTTTAAAATACACATCAGTGATATCCAGCTCTATGGAGAAGTCCTTGTCTTTGTGTTTGTCACCTTTCTTTATCAAGAGGAAGCATGTTTGTTTCCTATTTTGTCAAACCATTAGAATTAATCTAGCTTTATTTTCAACTGTAGAGTCAGTGGACCTTTTTGCAAAGTTCAGATTCTTTTTCTTACTCTAAAAGTCTGTTTTGGAGAACTCTGCCATCACAAGTAACATTGATTGCTAGGAAACTAAAGCATGTAAAAGGAATGTAAGGATCTGTTAAGTTTAGGAGGCTATTGTAAATTTCTCAACAAATTCCATTATAAATCTACTTATTTCTATAGCAGTAGCACTTGATTTGTAGGGTATCAGAAAGAAACCAACACTAAAACCTACCAAAGTAATCCATCAGGATTCTGGTATAGCTGTGTGATATGAAATACACCCATTAGGATTATTATACAGGATTTATATAGCGCCAACAATTTGCACAGCGCTTTACAAAATGAAGGCAGACATTGCAGTTACAATACAATTTGGTAAAAGAGGAGGAAACAGAGGGCCCTGCTCGTTAGAGCTTACAATCTAGAATCCTTTATTAAATAAGTATCTTCCATCTTGCTTGAGGTGATTGTAGCTGTATTAGTGCACTTGTATGGTAGTGCAGAGAAAAAAAGTATCACGGACAGTACTCAATTGTTTCTGTTTACTAAATAACAAATGCAATTAAATCAACTCTGTGCTGTGGCTATGCATTATAAACTAAGGCCTCTTTTGGATTACAGGCACCTTAATTTGCAAAATCATACCTCTATAGTGAACAACCTGCCAATCACAGCTTTAGTTGCCATTTTTTGACAACAGTAAAGGTTTACCCCAATATTGTTTGTTCTGTACTAGACTGGAATGACTGACTCCTGTTTTCAATATTAGTTTGGCTATCCTTTATGTAGAGCATACCTTTTATGTGAGAGTTTGTAGGGATTACATTAAATTGCAATACTTAATGGACATAGACTTAATATTACTGATTCTGTGAGGTCTAATAAACTAGGTAAGTGTTAATTAACCTGTAATGCATGACACATTATAATCACAAAAACCCTGGTCAACATGTATTAGCATAGTAATTGGATATCCACAGGATTATTCAACAACCTATTCCAATTTCTCTGTGGTTCACAGAACTATTAGCCATCAAGCAATTTGCATGTTCATTTGTATCTTGGGTTACTCCAATCAATGGACAGTGTTTATTCCATTGGTTTGAAAGAGATAATGTAGAGCAAAGCCTTGTATACAGAAAATTTATTTCCTATGTGTTTCATAATAAATATTTTTTCATTTAGGTTACTTTTGTTGCAACTGGTCCATTGACAAACTTGGCTTTAGCTTTCAATATGGATCCAACTTTGCCACAGAAAATCAAAAGCCTTTTCATTATGGGAGGTAACATGGAGTGTAAGTATATGATGTTCATTTTGAAAAGGCCACACAAGCCAAACCCTATAGTAAACATATTGGTCATTTAATTGTGGCTTTAATAAATAAGTATTTTTGCCTCTGGTGTTCATTATGCTTTAAAAAGGGATCACTCTATAGAAATCCATTAATTTCATTGATGGCCCATCCACCCCAAATTAATATTGCATTCCTTGGCAAATTCTACAGATTTAAACCTGACAATTATTATTTATTGTTTAGAGACTTTATTGGTAACATGCACTCACCTGCCACGTTATTAGGTACACCTTGTTAGTGCCAAGAAAATATCCCCCACACCATTACACACCACCACCAGCCTGAACCGTTCATACAAGGCAGGATGGATCCATGCTTTTATGTTTATGCCAAATTCTTACCCTACCATCTGAAAGTCGCAGCAACCAGTCTGCCCATTCTCCTCTGACCTCTGACATCAACAAGGCATTTTCATCCACACAACTGCTGCTCTCTGGATATTTTTTCTTTTGGACCATTCTCTGTAAACCCTAGAGATGGTTGTGCGTGAAAATCCCAGTAGATCAGCAGTTTTTGAAATACTCAGACCAGCCCACCTGGCATCAACAACCATGCCGTGGTCAAAGTCACTTAAATCCCCTTTCTTACCCATTCTTATGCTCTGTTTGAACTTCAGCAAGGCACCTTCACCATGTCTACATGTCTAAATGCATTGAGTTGCTGCCATGTGATTGGCTTATTAGCAATATATGTTTCCAGGTAATTGAAAAGGTGTACCTAATAAAGTGGTCGGTGAGTGTATGCTCACCCGAGTTCCTAGTTCTACACACTTACTGTCAGTATTATGAGGGTATCATGTTAATTTTTAGATTTATTTTACATGATGAAGAATGCTGAACATCACTGAATTGATTTAGCTAGACTGCAAAAGCAGCAGCTTCTGCTGGTTTATGTTTTTAAACTCAAAATGTTTAGCAAAACCAGTGTTGTGGAAGCTCTTGTGTAAAAGATAAAATTTAATTGTAAAATAAAGCCTTTATGCCAGGGGTGCTCAACAGGAGGCCAAATGTCGCCCTTGGAGCTTTCTGATGTGGCCCTTCACCTCAAACTGAATGCAGGAGTTATGGTGTAGATTCAGATAGTGCACCACACCCTTAAGATATAATAGAAGTCTGTGGCAATGGTCAGCTAACCTGCAGCAAAGCCACAGGTGCACTGCGCCAGCCATAGGTGCACAGCAGTGTGAAATCAGAAATCAGCTTTACAGTGGGCTTGGGACAGCGAGGCTCATTAACTTTTGCAGTTTGGGGGCAGTTGGCCCCCCCTCCCCAACCACTGGTGTAGCATCAGTGGTCGCAATGGCGACCCTGCTCAATGCTCCAGGGGGCCCATGCGGCCTCCCTGTCACATTTTGTTTTACACTTGGACAGGAGGGGCGATGGAGGTAGCATATACAGGAACTGATGCTCTCCATTTTCTTCCTACAACTGCTGAAAGCCAGCTTCTCCTTTCTCTCCTGCGGGCATTCAGCAGCTGCAGGAGGAAAAATGTTCATTTATGCTATTCAAAGTAAAAAATGTGAAATTCTGAACCATTTCATTTTGGTTTGCTACTGGTGACCAAATCACTTAAGTGGCCCGTGCTCTTAAAAAGGTTGAGCACCCCTGTTTTATGCAATAATACCAAATATAATACATTCAGTTTAAGCATATGTAAACCAAAAGTAAAAAATATATATATATATTGCAGCTTACTAGTTTTTAGATGCTGTGTCTGCATTAGTTTTTTTTGTTAGGCTTTTTTCCTTTGACACCATGTACTACTGCAAATAATACACTTCTTGTTTCTGGGTGGCCGCGCTCACTTTTCTGCTGCAGCTATGGAGGGGGACCTTGTTGCCACCCAGGCTGGAATTCAAACATGTCTGTCTTTGTTTATAACTATTTCATGAGCGATGGTGAAAGCAGAGTGTGCCAGTTGCAGTTGTGTATGTAACTTAACCGCTTGACGCCGACGACACACAAATATGCGCCCTCATGGAACTGGGATTTTTTCTGTGGGGCCGCATATATTTGCGTACCTGTCTTTGTGCTGGGAGCGCGCCGCTCGGCGAACTCCCAGCACAGAGACCGCGGTGTCACTGAGAGCCCCAGGTCCCATTCTAACGATCGGGACCCGGGACTCCCGATTCCGGGTCACGTGATTGCTGTGATAGCCTCTGATTGGCTATCACAGTGATCAGTCACTGTGCAGCCCAGCCCCCTTGCTTTTTCTCTCTCTATGAATGGAGAGGAGAGATACATTGTATCTCTCTAACTCCTAACATAGAGAGAGAAAAAAAAATGGTATAATCCACCTGGATGTATAAAGTAGTTATGATGATATGTACGGTTTTACTAACACATGTCAACATTGCAGAATTGTGCTTAGGCATTTAGATTTGTCTTACCCTTAGGCGTGAAGGGGTTAAAGTGGATGAGTTCTACACACTCTGACACTCACATCTTTCAGTGCAAACTCTGTGGAGGTGACGTTTAAGCTTTGTTTCCACAGGTGAACTATCATCATAAGCATTTTACTCTCATCGTGTTTAAAAGTGTTCAGTTGTTCGTGTTTTAGGCAATTATCAGTTAAAGTAAATTTTGGGTTGGCAGTCCTACTTTCCTAAACAAATTCTTTCTTATTGTTTAATTTATTTTAACTTCAAATCGTAGCAAGAGGAAACTATACAGCTTGTGGCGAATTCAACTTTTTATGTGATCCAGAAGCTGCATATGTAGTTCTAAACAGCTTTGATTGTCCAACATGTATTTCCACCTGGGAATTCACTTTCAAAAACATGCTACCTTGGGTAAGATGAAATAGTTTTACTGTCTATAAATACATTCTTTGCTCTTCTTTATATTAAGTGAGAAATTGCTGTATACATGCATCAAACAAAAGACTTGGATATTGATCTGTCTGTTTTCCTTGGTTGTAGGTAATTGATGGAAAAGCAAGCTCTGCTTTTTCACAGATTTGCTGGGCAGTGCTATATACCGAATTAATCTATGTTAGTGCTTTTCCATTCTTTACTGTAGAGAGTTAGAGTAGAACTGAAGGCAAAATGTTTTTTTTCCATTTCAAATAGAGTAAGAAAGGGTTATAACCCCTGTATGGTTTATTTTTGCCATCCATGTCTCATTGGGGAGATTTGCCTTCACTTCTGTCCCAAAGCCAAAACAAGAAGTGAGAGAAAATCCCTCTAAATTTAGGGAATCCCTGGTTGTTGTCAGGGTCACCAGAACTAGTGTCCCCATTGAATATATCCCCACTGTCCCTGTTCTGAGAACAACTCAAAATTTGGGATTTTCTTTTACTTTCAGTGATAACAGTAAACAGAACAAATGAAGAGGGTGAATACAAACAGAAACAAAAACTTGACTGGGGTTCTAATCTTCTAATCCTTCTTCACGCTATCAAAAATTGAAAATAAGTTTTTTTTTTAGTTATATTTTAAGATTTAAATAGTAGAATACAAGGGAAGGTTGTGGTTTTTAACTGTTTTTTTTTTTTTTTTTTGGGCTTCAAATGTGTTTAAAGATGCACTACCAAGTAATTAGCTTCTTCTTTTTTTTTCCAAGTCAGATAAGGAAATGAAAAGTAGAATCTGATTACTAGGCAAGCAGTTTGTTAGATGCCCCAAACAGGACGCTGACACATGATCTTATAGTTTGGGACTGATAATACTAATGCTGGTCCTGGCTTCTTTGATTCTTCTTGGTGATCCTGCTGATCCAAGAATCTCTTCTGCTGTTGTAGTATAGGAATAATACAGAACCCTTGCCCTGCAAGATTGTATTGCATAAATACAAATATTTGACTTGAAGAATACTTTAAACTCATGAAATATTACATAGCAGAGGCCATTTACAATTGGAAGATGGCAGTTGCATTTGTTTATGATGCTCAGTGTTTGTGCAACTGTTTATCAGACCTACAGTGGATATAAAAAGTCTACACACCTCGGTTAAAATGTCAGGTTTCTGTGATGTAAAAAAAATGGGACAAAGATAAATAATTTCAGACCTTTTTCCATCTTTAATGTTACCTATAAACTGTACAACTCAGTTGAAGAACAAACTGAAATCTTTTAGGTGGAGGTAAGTAAAAATAAAAAACTAAAATAATATGGTTGCATAAGTGTGCACACCCTTAAACTAATACTTTGTTGAAGCACCTTTTGATTTTATTACAACACCCAGTCTTTTAGGGTATGCGTCTATCAGCATGGCACATCTTGACTTGGCAATATTTGCCCACTCTTCCATGCAAAAACACTCCAATTCTGTCAGATTGCGAGTGCATCTCCTGTGCACAGCCCTCTTCAGATCACCCCACAGATTTTCAATCGGATTCAGGTCTGGGTTTTGGCTGGGCCATTCCAAAACTTGAATCTTCTTCTGGTGAAGCTATTCCTTTTGTTGATTTGGATGCATGCTTTGGGTTGTTGTCATGCTGAAACATGAAGTTCCTCTTCGTGTTCAGCTTTCTAGCAGAAGCCTGAAGGTTTTGTGCCAATATTGACTGGTATTTGGAACTTTTCATAATTCCTTAACTAAGGCCCCAGTTCCAGCTGAAGAAAAACAGCCCCAAAGCATGATGCTGCCACCACCATGCTTCACTGTGGGTATGGTGTTCTTTTGGTGATGTGCAGTGTTGTTTTTGCGCCAAACATATCTTTTGGAATTATGGCCAAAAAGTTCAACCTTGGTTTCATGAGACCATAACACATTTTCCCACATGCTTTTGGGAAATTTCAGATGTGTTTTTGCAAAAGTTAGCTAGGCTTGGATGTTCTTCTTCATAAGAAAAGACTGCCATCTTGCCACTCTGCCCCCCCTCCCCCCCCCATAGCCCAGACATATGAAGAATACGGGAGATTGCTGTCACATGTAACACACAGCCAGTACTTGCCAGATATTCCTGCAGCTCCTTAAATGTTGCTGTAGGCCTCTTGGCAGCCTCCCAGACCAGTTTCTTCTCATCTTTTCATAAATTTTGGAGGGACATCCAGTTTTTGATAATGTCACTGTTGCGAAATATTTTCTCCACTTGACTGTCTTCACTGTGTTCCATGGTATATCTAATGCCTTAAATTATTTTGTACCCTTCTCCTGACTGATACCTTTTAACAGTGAGATCCCTTTGGAAGCTCTCTGCAGACCATGGCTTTTGCTGTAGGAAGCGACTAAGAAAATGTCAGGAAAAACCTATTGGAACAGCTGAACAGTATTTGGGGTTAATCAGAGGCACTTTAAATGATGGCAGGTGTGTACTGACTCCTATTTAACATGATTTTGAATGTGATTGTTTAATTCTGAACTCAGCTACATCCCCAGTTATATAAGGGTGTGCACACTTATGCAACAACATTATTTTAGTTTTTTTTATGTTTACTCTCCCCCACCCCCCCTAAAAGATTTCCGTTTGTTTTTCAATTGAGTTGTACAGTTTATAGGTCACATTAAAGGTGGAAAAAGTTCTGAAATTATTTATCTTTGTCTAATTTTTTTACATCACACAAACATGACATTTTAACAGGGGTTTGTAGACTTTTTATATCCACTGTATGTTTTCAGTAAAAAAATACACTAAAATAGTTTTAGTGCATACAAATATAAAACCCCAATTCTTTTGTAAAATATAAAGGATAAGAATGTGTTAAGTAACAAGATAGCAAATATATCTTGTCTCAAAGTTTAAATTCTCCCCCCTCCTCATTTTGCTGCTGGTCTACACTTAAACTATAAGAAAGGGTTCCTGGGAACACTCCCCTATAGACCAGTGATTAGTGCTTAAGTACACAGTCCTCTATGGAGAGAACTGTGCTCTGGCACAGTTTGCACTCACACTGAAACAAACCATACTGGACCACAAGTGAACTGCTTCACATCTTCCACGTGGTCCCAGGCGTGGTACACTTAACCAATCCCAGGTGTGGTTTAGAGCACCCGCACTACAAAAACGAATCCGCCCAAGGGGCTGAACTGCGCCCTGGATCGGCTCAAACTGCAAGTGTTAGTACACACTGAAAGGCATGAGGCGGCAGCACAAAATTGAAACAAGCTCATAGCTGCAATTCCTTGATCACAATGACTTATTGGACAGGCCCTTGGCAGTCAACCGATTTTAAAGCTTTTCTGTAGGCAACAATATAAGGGTTAAGGGTCCCATGGGTTGAAGTTCTTATCATGAAAGCATTGTAGGTGTGTTAAGGAAATTTCCATGATTGGTTTGTTAGGTCCAGTTTTATTTTGGGTTATATAACAGAAAGCCAGGAGGTTTTTTCCATTTCCAAGGAGCCTTTATCCAGGCTAAAAGAGCAAAGGACTTGATTGGCAGTATGTCTGTGTGGATATTCACATTTTTTTTAAGCATTGGTGCTAATAATGCACAGTATGTGCACATAAATATACCATGAGGCATTGGTTGGCATGCGTTTGGATGATGTGTGTGTGTTATCTTGGTTTAATACACATGGTGGTTGAGGGGCTCCAGGGTTTATGGCTGATGTGGAGAAATCCACTTCTCAGAATCAAGTCCTGTCCTGACTTCTGGAGCCCAGAGGCTTTAAAGAACTTGGTTGAGAATAAAAGTCTCCATTCTTAGGTCCACATCTTATTGATAGCCAGACCTCATTATTAGGCTGAGCTGTACACAGGCCTTTACATATGTCAGCTGACTGATGCTCAGGGCTCTCTCTGCTGTAGAAAGCTGCTACTGTGTGAAAACGCTGATAACAGTAAAAAGATACAATAGTTACCTGTTTGTTTTGGGAAACCCATTGGGTGGCACCCTGTTCAGGAACCAACCTAGGTTTAGTTAATGGTATGGATGAGCAGATGTCTTGTTTTTGTGCTATAGACTTGTAAAAACCCCTCCAGCATGGAAACTGTTTGCTTTTGCATAATAAATTGTAGAACAAATCTGCTTGGAGTTTTCCTGGATGCACAGGTACGCTCATCTCTCTTACAAACCTATGCACAAAACACTGATTTCATTTATATGAATTGCTCTTTTAGCTATAATAAAGGATCCTTGGAACCCCCATGTTTTATATGACCGCAAATACAAACCTTTCTGTACCCACAGCTGATTTAACTTTTTTCTTTTATACAGTTGCAAGAAAAAGTATGTGAACCCCTTGGGATTACGTGGAGTTTTGCATGAATTGGGCATAAAATGTGCTCTGAAAGTCATCTAAGTCACAACAATAGAAGAACACAGTCTGCTGAACATAATACTACACAAACATTAGATGTTGCCATGGTTTAATTGCACATAACATGTAAACATTCACAGTGCAGGGAGGAAAAAGTATGTGAGGCCCTAGCTTAATGACTTCTCCCAGAACTAATTGGAGCCAGGAGTGAGCCAACCTTGACTCCAATCAGTGTGATGATATTGGATGTGTTGCTGACAGCTGTCCTGCCCTTAAAAAACACACACCTGTTTTGGGTTTACTGGTTTCAAGAAGCACTGTCTGATGTGAACCACGCCTCGCAGAAAAGAGCTCTCAGAAGACCTACGATCAAGAATTGTTGACTTGCATGAAGCTGGAAAGGGTTACAAAAGTATCTCCAAAAGCCTTGATCTTCATGTTTCCACGGTAAGACAGACTGTCTACAAATGGAGAAAGTTTAGCACTGTTGCTACTCTCCCTAGGCGTGGTCGTCCAGTAAAAATGACTGCAAGAGCACAGCGCAGAATGCTGCATGAGGTAAAGAAGAATCCCAGAGTGTCAGCTAAAGACCTACAGAAATCTCTGGCACATGCTAACATTTTTGTTGACACATCTACAATAAGGAAAACATTAAACAAGAATGGAGTACATGGGATGGGGACACCACGGAGGAAGCCATTGCTGTCCAAAAAGAATATTGCAGCACGTTTGAAGTTTGCAAAAGAGCACCTGGATGTTCCACAGCACTACTGGCAAAATATACTGTGGACAGATGAAACCAAGATTGAGTTGTTTGGGAAGAACACATAACACTATGTGTGGAGAAAAAAAGGCACAGCACACCAACATCAAAACCTCATCCCTACTGTGAAACATGGCGGAGGGGAGCATCATGGTTTTGGGGCTGCTTTGCTGCCCTCAGGGCCTGGACGGATTGTTGTCATTGATGGGAAAATGAATTCCAGAGTTTATCAAGACATTTTGCAGGAAAACGTACGACCATCTGTCCGCCAACTGAAGCTCCACAGAGGATGGGTGATGCAACAGGACAATGACCCAAAGCATACAAGTAATTCAACAAAACAATGGCTGCAACAGCACAGAATACGCCTTCTGGAGTGGCCCAGTCAGAGTCCTGACCTCAACCCGATTGAAATGCTGTGGCATGACCTTAAGAGAGTGATTTACACCAGACATCCCAAGAATTATTGCTACAACTGAAACAGTTTTGTGAAGAGGAGTGGTCCAAAATGACTCCAGATCGTTGTGCAGGTCTGATCTGCAACTACAGGAAACGTTTGGTTGAGGTTATTGCTGCCAAAGGAGGGTCAACCAGTTATTAAGTCCAAAGGTTCACATACTTTTTCCTCCCTGCACTGTGAATGTTTACATGTTATGTGCAATTAAACCATGGCAACATCTAATGTTTGTGTAGTATTATGTTCAGCAGACTGTGTTCTTCTGTTGTTGTGACTTAGATGACGTTCAGAGCTCATTTTATGCCCAATTCATGCAAAACTCCACGTAATCCCAAGGGGTTCACATACTTTTTCTTGCAACTGTAACACACTATGATTTATTGCTGTCTATGTCCAGTTCCGGAAATTCACTCTCTCTTTATCCATTTCAATGAGAAAGGAAATAATGGAGAATTAAAAAATGTTACAATTGTCACCAAACAGGGGTAATGAGAAATCTTCTAATGAGGATACCTGTTCTGGTGACAACTGTGCAAGAGGGGATTTCCTTTCACTGTGATCTTTTCACTTTCCTTTGTGCCTTGGGGACAAGATGCCATACAAATTTTGATTACGAGAATGTTGATTGCTGCTTTTCATACAGGTATGGGGGAAAAAAAGTCTTGAATCAGAGGCAAATCACATTTAGTGCACACAGAAATCATAATTGTGATATGGATAGTTCTGATCATCCATCAACCTTTTCTACATATGGTTAACTGTTTGTATTGTTCCCACTAATATCAGCAAGCCGATCAGTAATGCCAAATGTCTTTCCTAGACGAACGTTTACAAGGAGTGGCTCGCCCAGGACACCCAGAAGGCAGACTTTATGAGGAAAAATTTCAGCTCAGTCTGAGAGATACACTGAAAGATGCAATGGCAAAGCAGGGGAGGTGTGGACTGAAGGATTTGTGCCATGTGACTCCTATGCCATGGCTGCAGCCATAGATGAAAGCTTTGTTACTAGTGTCATTCACTGTGCAGTAAGTGTAGAGCTCAGTGGCACACTGACTCGAGGGATGATGGTGCTGGATCTGCGGGATACACTACAAAAAAAACATAAAGCTTTTATCATGACTAAATGTGACACAGAGAAGTTGAAAAGTCTTTTAATGGAAGCATTAAAGTAACATGCCTTGATGAACCAGACTGTAGTGAGGAAGTGATCACTTCACTTCTCTACTGCTGTTAACCACGTCACCACAAAAATCATGCCAATGCTTGCATCAGAGGAGGGAGCAGCCATCAGTAAATTCATAAAAATAATAATACTTACTGTTCACTTTTTAAAACTAAGGAAGGAGAGCCAAAAGTAGTTGATATGGAAAGTATCACTTATGCAGCTGTGATGTACAGACTTTGTTCCCTGAGATCAGGGATCTGACAATACTAAACCAGCAAACATACTTTGTATTAGTGTTTTCAAGTGTTCATTATGCAAGTAGCCACATAGGGATTTTCTTAGGACATAATTTACTGAAATCACTCATGCTAATCCTGGAAGCGGTCAGCTTGCTTCCTTATAAAACTGACTGAAGTGCTCTGAAAAAAAAAATACATATTTCTAAACTCACATGCACACATACTTAGTCTTTTATAGTTAAAGCGTATGTTTTGCTAAAAGTTTGTGATTTGAGTAGGAAAGTGGTCAGCTTGCTTTCTTAAGAAACTGACTGAAGTGCTTTGAAAAAAAAAAATACACATTTCTAAACTCACGTGCACACATACTTAGTCTTTTATAATTAAAGTGTAGGAAATGGTTAAAGGAGTTCTATGGTAGCAGCATACTTTTTCATTTTGTAATCAGGATTTAAATATCAATACAAATAGTTATTTCTGGCAATCCAGTATAAGATTACTTGAAAAATTTCCCTTCATGTTGTGCGTTCTGGCCTTCTGTTTCCACAGTCTCTGTAAAATCTGTGACACAACAATGCCCACTCACAGGCCATAGTGAATATGTGTCACAGATGGGGATATTTTCAAAGTAAGTTTAAAAACATCAAGATTGTTCAGATTATTAGAAATAGGCTAGAAATTATTGAAATACAATGTGGAATTATAAATGATTATATATTTTGACCATAGAACCCTTCCCTGTCAGTTTTTTCCTTTCTTGGTCCCATAGGGAAGATTTTCCTTAACTTCTTATCTTATATGCATCAGGAAGTGAGAAGATATCTCTCCAAAGTGAGGGGAATTCCCCTCTGAGACAATTGCCACCAGTACTAGTTTCCCTATTGGCAAATTGACCCTCACCTCCTTAAGTGACAACTTGAAAATTTTGGTTTCCCATTACATTCTGTACCTTTGACAATAGTTACCAGGCAGATAGGATGAATTTTCTCAGTGGGGACACAGAGAGCATTAAAAACCTGACAGGGGTTCTGATCCATGCCTACACTATCTGAAACTAGTTTGGTCTTTACATACACCTTAATATTGTCTTGATCATTTTAAAAGTTATATTTCAAAGCCATTTTAATATTTGTACATCTCATAACTATTGTTTCTAAGGTTTTGTTTGCACAAATAGAATAATTTTTAATAAAAAAAAAAGTGGTATTACTTCATTTCTGTTTTAATGCATGCTTTCCTGTGTTGATATTTCTTTTTTTTTTTTCATTTAAATAACTTATTGTTTTGTATACAATTTATTATTAGCATGGTACTGGTGTAAACATCCAATTAGGGTGAAAGACTGAGGGCATCTTCAAACTGCACCTACAGTAAAGAGCTCAGCTGCATTTCAGCATAGTATGGACACATAAAATCCATCAAAGGACACATACACCTCCATCAAAGGACCCTGAACAGTCTCAAATATTTTACTATAGCCTACTAAATCCAATGTTTTCATACCAGGAAAATTTTACTAGCACTAAAATGCATGTTATATTCTTTCTTGTCCATTACCCTGCCAGAGCTTTTTTTACATTTTCTTTTTTTTTCTATCGGGTTGAGGTTAGGACTCTGTACAGCCAGTCAAGTTCCTGCACCCCAAACTCACTAATCCAAGTCTTTGTGCACTGGTGGAACAGGAAGGGGCCATCCCCAAGCTGTTCCCACAAAGCTGGGAGCATGATATTGTCCAAAATGTCTTGGTATACTGACACCTTAAGACACGGGTGTCAAACTGGCGGCCCTCCAGCTGTTGCCAAACTACATGTCCCATGAGGCATTGCAAGATTCACAGGAAACAAGCATGCCTCCCAAAGGGACTTGTAGTTTCGCAACAGCTGGAGGGCCAGCAGTTTGACACCCCTGCCTTAAGAGATCCCTTCACTGAAACAAAGGGCCCAAGCCCAACCCCTGAAAAACAACCCCACACCAAAACCCCCCCCCTCCGCCAAACTTTACACTTGGCACAATGCAGTCAGGCAAGTACCATTCTCCTGGAAACTGCCAAACCCAGACACATCCCTCTGATTGCTAGACAGAAGTGTGATTTGTCACTCCGGAGAACACGTCTCCACTGCTCTAGAGTCCAGTGGTGACGTGCTTTACATCACTGTATCCAACACTTTGCATTGCACTTGGTAATGTAAGGCTTGGATGCAGCTGCTTGGCCATAGAAACCCATTCCAAGAAGCTCTCTACGCAATGGCATTGTGTTAATCTGAAGGCCACACAAAGTTTGGAGGTCTTTAGCTATTCACTCTGCAGACAGTGAGTGAGAATATTTAGGCGCAGTGTGGAGCCTGGGAAACAAGGCGGGGGTGAGTATGCAGTGGGTTGAAAGAGCGACTGTTTCTGGGATGTGTGGAAAGGATCACATGGCTGTACAGCTGCACAGTCACTTCCATCTGACAGCCGACAGTTGGCTTGTCAGATTTAAATACATTGCAAGCTCTGTAGCAGCCAGGTGTGTGTGTGTGAAATCCCCCTGCTGCTTCCAACATATGGCATACATTGTTGGTAGCAAAGAGATTAAGGGACACAGGAATTCTCTAACCTTCAAGTTATACTGCCTGTTACAGGAGGATTGGACACTGGCAGACAAAATCTATAAGCCTGTCAGGATAACCCCTTGCACTAACAGAATGCCTCATATTTTCTGCTAGTGTCCAAGAGGATGACTGTCTTTTGTTCAGCTCTGCTGCTATAAAGACTAACCTCTTATTTTGCTACCTTTTTTTTTTCAGTTTTTTCCTTCATTTAGGACATTTCTTTACACTGTTGTTGGAGGTTTCCCCTCCAATTAGTCTTCCAGTGCTGTCATCCTCAGCTTTTGGAGTACCTCATCTGGACTCCGCTCGGCTTGATGTTGTTGGGATAGCCTGGAAGTGACTAAAGCCTAAAAGCACTGTGTTTCATGTGGACTGCATTGTGCTAAAAGTTAGTTGTGGAGCACTGTCCAGGTCCAGAGCGCTTGCTCTGTCTACAAATACACACTCAGTGGGTAGGCCTGGTTAGGTTGCGCAGCGGGAGCTACGTTCTTTTCATTGTTTCATTGTTTTTCATTCTCTCTGTTTGCCATGGAAGGGGTAACTCTGTGGGACTGAGAGCTGATGTAATCTGCTGGGTATTATGTTGTGCATTGCCCATGTACAGTGACTTGGTCACCACTGACTATCTGACGATCACCTGCTACCAGTTTCATGAGTACTTAAGGCCTTGCCTCTTACCCTGAGCCCACACATTGTCTTACCTCACTGGCCCTGCAACATGTCTGATTCTAGGCACAGAGGGGTTTATTAACTAAAGTTAGAGCGTGCAAAATCAGACTCACTTCTGCATAGAAACCAATCAGCTTCCAGGTTTTATTGCCAAAGCCTAACTAAACGAGCTAAGGATAGAAGCTGATTGGTTTCTGTGCATAAGTGAGTCTGATTTTGCACACACCAGCTTTAGTAAAGAAACCTAATAGAAACACTTCCACTGTACCAGTTACCCCAGCTCACTTTCTGCTAATGGTTCAGCTGATGGTGCCCACATCTGCAGCCTGGAACCATGTTATCTTCTGCTATTTCTGAATCCTTTTTAGCTCTGTTGGCTTGGGGTTGGTTCCTCTGGCCTTTCAGCTATAGTCTTTACTACAATCATGCAAGACGTGTTGATCTAAATTACCCAGTTATTTGCTGACTTAGATCTCAGTGGCCACAAGCATGCTCTTGCACCCTCGCCAGCAGATTTTGTATCTGTCCATTTTTGTGGGTCTGTAAAAGAGAAAAGTTTTATATATATATTTTACTGCATCAGCAAGGTTTCTCCCAGGCAAAAATTTCAAAGCAGACAGGGGTTTCAAGATGTGCTGTTCAAGCTCTTTTGAAGAAGCACAAAGAAATGGGCAACGTTGAGGACTGTAGATGCAGTGGTTAGCCAAGGAAACTTAATGCTGCAGATGAAAGACACATCATATTCACTTCCCTTCAAAATTGGAAGATATCGAAGTGCCATCAGCACAGAAACCAGTGAGACCCAGGTATACCTATTTACTGTCCAGGGCAGTCTGGCCAGAAGTGGTCTTCATTGAAGAATTGCAGCCAAAAAGCCATACCTCCAACTTTCACATTCCGTATGCCCATTTTTCATCTGTCGTTTACGGATGAAAAACGGACACCCATGTATTTCTATGGACTAGCGTATGTAAACGGATGATCATCTGTTTACATCTGTTAATGTCCGCATCCATTAACATCTGTTTTTTTTTTAACAGAAGAAAACCCTTTTTCTTTCCTTAAAAAAAATGGAATGGACGAAAAAACGGATGTAAACAGAAAAAAACGATGTAAAAGGACAAACGGATGTAATTGGATGAAAAACTGATGTGAACTGATGAAAAGCCGATGTAAACTGATGAAAAACTGATGTGAACTAGTCCGTTTTTTTCTTGGAAAAAATGTGAGTGAACTGATGAAAAAAATGGAACACCCACGAACAGGGCTAAGCTATTTTAGGCTGCCTACATCGACAGAATTTCTGTGGTTAGTTCTCCAAGATGTTTGGAACAACCTACCTGTCGAGTTCCTTTAAAAAACTGCGTGCAAGTGAACCTAGAAGAATTAATGCTGTTTCGAAGGCAAAGGGTGGTCACACCAAATATATATTTGATTTGGACTTCTGTTAATTTACTTTCCGTTTTGTTACATGATAAAAATAAACTATTGCCATATTTATTTCTGAAAGC